TCTCTCTCTCTCTCTCTCTCTCTCTCTCTCTCTCTCTCTATCTCTCTCTCTCTCTCTCTCTCACACACACACACACACACACGCATTGTTAATTTGTTACTTTGACAAAAAAAAAATAATCTTCATCTCATCCCCCAAAAAAAATCAAAGCATGTCCTCATCGGATCATCCGACACCGACAAATGATCCACCGGATCGACCGTCGTCCTCAAGCAAGGCAGCGTACCGCCACCAACCGCAAACGCAATCGCAGCAGCCGAGCCGCTACGAATCGCAGAAACGCCGCGACTGGAACACCTTCCTCCAATACCTAAAGTCCCAGAAACCACCGATCTCCATGTCTCAGTTCGAGTATTCCCACGTGCTCAGCTTCCTCAACTACTTAGACCAGTTTGGTAAGACCAAGGTAACGAAAAAAAAACAAGAAATAGTTTCTTTGTTCAATCTCGTTTAAGGGATCTTGTTCAAGAACCTTAACGTCGTAATTCGAATCAATTATTTTGCGCGATTAAAACATAGGTTCATAACCAAGCATGCGTGTTCTTCGGACAACCCGATCCACCGGCGGCGTGCACGTGTCCTTTGCGACAGGCGTGGGGAAGTCTGGATGCTCTGATCGGACGGCTGAGAGCGGCTTACGAAGAGCACGGCGGAGGATCTACGGAGAGCAACCCATTTGCGAACGGAGCGATTCGAGTTCACTTGAGGGAAGTGAAAGAGTCTCAATCCAGGGCTCGTGGAATTCCCTACAGGAGGAAGAAGAGGAAGAAGACTTGTGGTGTTACTACCAAAAACGACGTCGTTGTCAAGATGGAACCTCCAAACTCCTCTGCTCACTCCTCCGCTACTTGATCAAAGATTTCCCTAGCTAAACGGTATCATCGCGTGATCCATATATATATATATATATATCGATTCTTCTAGGTTCATATTAGGTTGAAAATTTAATGATACTACAAATTTAGTGATCTTCAAACCGTCCAAACTATAGTAATTATACAATCTATATGAATACATTTATATATAAATTTTGAAGCGAGTGGCCAATATATACATATGGATGCTTTAAGACCAAAGAAAAAGAAAACCCTAGAAAGGCGTTCATGATGAAAAAACCCTAAAACCATGGCGGATGCAGATGATTAAACGTTACAGATTATTGTTGCTTGGGGCTGTATATTCTATATTCTATTTCCGATCTTTATCTTCGTATGGCATACAAAATTATTCAGATCATAATGCCATAATCAGAGATAATTAAATACGTTATCTTAAATATACCTTTTTGTTGTGGGTCTCGAGCATCCTTGTGATGTGAAGGAACCCCTCACACGTTGCATGCATAGGAAAACGCGCGTATGAATGTTCTAAAGTACACGTACATTATATGCATACACGCACGTACGTACACAAATACGTGCTGTCACATGTATAAACTATAATGTATATATATGGAATCACGTATATATGGCAGGTGATCGGAAATCTTCGGTCGTCAGAGTCTGACACTAATAAAAACAGTGTTGACAAGTGAAAGTACTGTGTGTGTGTGTGTGTTTATAAGATACAAGGATTTGGCATAGTCTTTCCACAATGGTTAATTGCTCGGAGTTTGGTCGGAATACTAGGATGTTGGTTAGGATATAAACCTATGCTAATTCATGTTTGCCTTAGTTTTTTTATATCTAATTTCATGGATAGCTTAAATCAAATACAGAAGATCAATGGAAAAAAGGCATAGAATGAGCGTCTGCCTAAATAAATGAGTGGCCACTAATGAATGTTTAGATGTATGTAGCTTTTTTTTTTAAAAAAAAACATATACATATATACAAGGATTGGAGCAAAGCATAGCAATAAAATACTCTCTGGTCAACCAATTTTAGTAGTGTACATTTAGACTGTGAGACATGTTCAATACACATATATATACACACACTTTGATTTGGCAGATATAGAACAATGATGGTATTATCATGTGACATTATCGGTATAAACCAACGAAATATATGCAAATGTGTAACATTATTTTTCTAGGGAATTATATCCTCACACGTCCAAAAATATCTAACACAAGGTGCATCGTAAATCGAAACCTCTAACGTTGATAGTGTGGAATTTTTGTATTAATGTTAATACAAAGGTATCTATATATCTCAATTCAGTTTCCTCTATCATTGGCAGATATATGTATTGAGATGGTCGAATACGGGGAAGATGAAACAAAATTTTTCCCGCGCGGTATATATGGATCAATTTTCTATGTTTAATCTCTTCAAAATGTATTGTTAGTAGCCAAATATATATGTAATCCAATCAAGTAATCTTTGTATATATATACATATTACTTAAATACTATACGAAATTCGCTGTATATTTACTTGTAATATCAGATTTTCATCATGAAAAGAGGATCCCGGGAATGCGACCTCAGCTCGGGCTTTTATATATATTGTTCTTAATTTCATAGGCCCATTGGGCCTTGCCCAGAATGAAACAGAGATCCAACAAAGAAGTCTTAGTTGGGTGTATTCCGTGAAAAATTCCAAAGTTTACAATCGGACGGATGAGATGGCAGTTGTATTTGATCTAACGGTGGACAAGGAGCCAATTCGTTCTGTTTGATTGGTGAACGGGTCGGGCCATATAGCCCCATGGGCCTTTTCATCTTTATAATGTGGGCCTTCTCATTATATTCCGTTATTTTTTTATTTGATTATTTAGTTTTATAAAATTATATTCATTCAATTTTTATATCAATTTTAATTTATAAAATTAATGATTTTATTTTTCATTATTTTAATAAATTATAATTTGTCAGCATTTTTTTAAACTAATTTATTTCGAATATTTTCAGTGAAAAAGTCGACTAACTATGAAAAAAATGAGTAAAAAGGTGAAGCAAAGATCTCGGTGTCCTAAGAACAAGATTTTGCCTTTGGGTTCCCCACAATATCTCGAGTGGTTGCCATGTGAAGGATACTCTCTTTTCATCCCGCAAATTTAGGGTTCTTGGTCAAATATTATATTAACACAAAAATTGCTTTTGTTTTTTAAAAAAAATAAATAGCTATCATAGATTTTAAAAACTGATGAAAAAACAGTTTTGTTTTTAATATTGCTTCGAGCCCAAAAAACATATTTCCTCCCATAGCATAAACAAGCAATATATTTGATTATTTCACATATTATAGGGATAGAGGAAATTTAAATGTATATACATTATCGTGTTATTCATGGAATTTGACAATGCGCACATATAGCAGTTGTATGGGTCCGTTTAGTCGTCCCTTTTTGGTAGAATATATATTAAAATGTTTGGTCGAATTCTTTGAATATTTTGAAGAGTTTGGTTTTTCAATAAATCACAATATTTATGACCACTTTTTTACTTTTCTGTAGTTAGTGAGTGAGTGGGGCTTCAATTATTCAATTTAATAAAGAAAAATGTAACAATATAACAATATAAATATGGATTATTTTGAATTTTCTAATAATAATACACAAATACTATTTCTATAAATATGAATTGCATATTAAAATGAGGGGAATGATGATTGGGGATTAAGCGAATCTATCACAACATGACATGCAGAAGTGAAATCAAGTATCCGAAGAACCATCAAAGGATGCGTGGCTTGGGGAAAAGGACAACTACAACGTGTTTGTTACATTACTAATGACTAATGAGCCGGTCCAATTTTATTTGTCACACGCTCCATTTTTATAACAATTTTTTTTATTTTATTAAAATTTGTATCATCGTGGAACAGTTGAAGCAGCAGGCAGCACCACCACCGCCCACGTTTATGTCCCTCCCCTTTTTGTGCGTTTTGGAAGTTGGGAATATAACCGGCGGCGTCGTTTTTATGTGACCCATATGTCATTTTGATCGGTTTGGTCTTATTATAAGGTGCATTCATATGGAAAACAATATCATATAAATCACTGAAATGACAAAACAAAGCTATATATTCCAATTCAAGAAAAAAATATATATGTATATTTCCATCCCAATTTCATTGTATCTTTTAAGGTAGTGGCATTTGTGTTATAAGGACTACCATTGCATGAAATGATATCAGAACACACACATATATATATATATATGTATGTAAAGAAAAATACGAATGAATATAAATAAAAAAAAAAGGGAGTAATGAAAGGTCTTTGTTGACTTTTCTTTAGACATATTTCTCATCAGCTCCTTCCCTGAACCCCTTTTTTATATACACAATTTCTCTCTCTCTCTCTCTCTCTCTCTCTCTCTCTGAGAGGAATAACAGATCGAACAGTTCTGAGTTCCGACATGCTCTGAACAGAGTTCGAGTTTCTGGGTATTTTACACGTATACTCCGTACCTTTCATTCTCTGTTACGCTGTCCGATCATGTACTCTCTCTTCGTTTCTTGTGCATCTTAAAAGGTATGTTCTGTTTCTGTATCCTCCTTTTCTTTTCTTTTTTTTTTTAAATTCGGATTTATTTATTTTTTTCCTGATTTTTAGTTCGTGTCTCTGTTTCTGGGTTTATGGTTGACATTTCGTATTTACTGCATAAATCAACGTTTGAATCTTCAAAAGTTCAAGCAAGTTCTTGCCCCTTCGCATTCCTTTCAACGATCCCACCTTGCTTCATTTTCATTACAATTTATCATTTTTTTCTGGGTATTTCAGATATAGAAAGATTCAAGAGTCTTGCTTTTGTTAGCTTTCCCTGTTAAGAGTGCTCTGCATTAAGACAAAGCACAAGCATCAATGGAGGAGGCAAAACTTGATCTGGATGCTCCGTTTCTATCCGTAAGGCGAATATCAATCGAATCAGACAGGGAGAAGAAGATGAAGAAGAAAAGGGAGGAGAACTCGAAGAGGGTCACAGATCCATGTCTCAACACAGGAAATCAGACACCGGTTTGTTCACCGGGGCAGAGCTTTGACCATCTGACAGAACCGGCTTCAGTTCCGTTTGTGTGGGAACAAACTCCTGGTAGGCCAAAGAACATGACTGAATCCGACCAACATGCCGAGAGCACCGGTCAAGAAACTGATAAAGAACAAGAAGACGAGGCTTACTCTGATGTTCATGATATGGCATCTTCAAATGGTTACTTCTCTGTTAACTGCAGCAGCAGTGGTGTGAGCGAGTTCGAGAAGAATTCAGAGAAATCTGGAGCGTTGAGCGGTGAAATTCCCGAGTATCGAGAACTCATGATGTCAAGATTCTTACCAGCTGCGAAGGCAATGGCGTTGGAGCAACAGAGACAGCAGCAGAGGAGTCATCAGAACGATTCTTCTGCTCAGAAGAAGAAGCAGAACAGAGAAGCCATTGTTCCAGAGGGAAAGACTTTGGTCAGAAAACATGAACCTGTGTCCATTCCAAGTCACTGTGAGGATATGAACAACGAGGAAGATGAAGAAAGCCATAATGATGATGATGATGATTACAGTTATGGTGGCAGTATTTATTCGAGAATCTCGAAGAAGGGTGGGGTTTTTTTGCCACGGCTCTGCTCCAAGAACTCTCTGAGTATTCTAAACCCGGTTTCATCCATACGGGTCAAAACGTGTCAGGATCTTCGAAAAGCCGGTAAAATCATTCAGCCGAAGCATATAAGTGAACGAACAATGGGCATTAGCTCTAGAGAACAGATGACGCCAAGCTGGCCAAGTCGGCGTCTTTCAGGTTTCGTCTCGCCATACCGCTACCCCTCTGGCCGCTGTTCTTCGTTGTCTGAATCCGGGTTTCTTGGAACTCAAGAAAAAGCTGACATCTTTAGGGTTAATCGGTTACACAGAGGCATGAGCAAGTCTCAGGAGCTGCGTCCAAGAGAAAGCATGGTTTACCCTAATAGTCCCATCGCGAAATCTGCAGAAATCCTGATGGGCAGAAACCCTATTCCAAGAACTCCGTCAAGAATGGGAAGAACGACGACCGACCAAAAGCAAGAATATCCATTCACGAGATCTCAGAGCATCCAAGAAAGGGGGTTACTTGCGGAGGAAGTAAAGAAGAGGAGGAGCAATAAGGACAGGACAAGGAATCTTCTGGAAACTTCTCGTATGGAGCAACAATCCCTCGTCGTCGCAGTTTCTCCACCTCCGTTGCCTAAAACTCCGTCAGAGTCGTGGCTCGTCAGGGCGCTCCCGTCCGTGACCCCGAGAAGCTCGGTCTCCAGTCCGTACATTCCGGCTGCTCCTGCCGTTTCCACGAAACCAATGCAGGAAACGAATGAATCCGCGAAATGGGAGACGATCGTGAAAACCTCGTACATCCACCACGACCACGTACGCTACTCCGAGGTATAAAGATTTTTGTTTGTGTAGAGTTTAGATATTAAAATGTTTACAATTTGGTTTGGGTTCAGATATTATAATAGAAATTGAGAATTATAGTGAAATAAAAATACAATATCTATTTAACCTAATTAAATTATCAATAATATATAAATCATTATTTTGTAAACTTTGACTGTATATATATTAGAGTGTTAATAGTGTATATATAATGGCTAGTGAGCATATAGAAGACGGTCCAGATATGTAAATCTATGGCTCTCTCACTGCGAACGTTAGATTAACGCTTGATTTTACTTTTTTTTTTTTTTTTTTTTTTTCCCCGGGGTTTTG